TCAGGGAAAAGAGATGTGTAAAATACGGCAGAAAATCAGTGAAATGGTAGTACAGAGAATGCAAGGGGAAAAGATCAGAAGTGACCTCTGGCAGAAAGATCAGAAAAAGCTGGTCGCCAAGCTTAGCTGGAAGAGGGCATTTGAGCACTCAGACACACTGAGTTTTTTGGTGTTTTTTTTTTTTTTTTTTTTAATTCAAGAAAGAAAATTCAATTTTGATTTACTCTGGCTCTATAAGGAATTAAGTTTGAATTGTAGCAAATTATCAAAAATAATGACCAGGAGTTTTTCTCTCATGTTATCAGTGTCATCTTAGATCAGACATTCTATAACTTTGGTTGAAAAGTAAATGTTTATCTCAAATATTGTCTGATACTGTCTATAAGGTAATAGGGAGTTTCATAAGAAAATATATGTTTAATAGACTATGTTGGAAAACACAAAATCTATTTATGTGGTGATTTTTTCCACTAAAGAAAATGACTAAGGAAGTTAAGCTGTTACTGATGTGGCTGAATGATAATGATATACAATAAATTTAATTTTAAAAAGTTCAATGAAATCTTTTCTAACCTCATAAGTCACTCCTCCAAGATCTCCAAAGCAAATTCTGTTCGTCTCAGGACACCATCATCCAGTGTTGCTACAATTACAAGTACGCATGTTGTACCTTGCTACAGGGCTTCACAGGAACATGGGTGAAACATTGGCTACCTGCCTGAACTATTAAAATCTTGTGGCAATGCAGCATTTGAAGTGTTCACAGAGAAAGAAAATTCTAAGACTTAAAAGATATCCTTGAAATGGTTTACATATATGTTTTTCTTAATTGCTACAACAGTTATAGAGTAGGATGAGAATATGTCCTTTTATAAGGTAAGCTGAAACAAGGGATATTTATTAGTAAACTTAAATTTGGAAATGGTGCATCACATTAAGTCAGCTTCAGCCCTCAATATTTTATTTCTGACACTTTAAATCCTAATTCTGAGGATCAGATGAGGAAGGGCATCTGACAAGTACTCACCAAAATTACTAGTGAAGATGAAAGCCAAGCGCTGCCTTTCTGATGCTATTAACTCATAAGTGGCTGTTATGAGAATCTCTTCTATAAGGTGTGTTTTAGAGGCAAAATTAATTTTTTAATTAAATGAAAATGTTAGATAGTGAACAATGCAAGCATTTTTCCTTATGTTACCATGGTAAGCCGGTTTTGATTTTAAACCATTCCTGAGCTCTTAAATTGAAAAGAAGGTATCTTTCATAAAGTTGGAAAGGAACACATTCCTTTGGAATAAATTCTATTACCCTATTCCTGTTTGCTGTAATTTTATTTAATTATTTATTTTTTTACTGATGCATATTCAATGTATGTATTTTCAGGGTACCTGCGATCATATAAAACACTCATATAATCAAATCAGGGAACTTGGGATACCCATCACCAGTTAACATTAATTGATTGTCTATTTCACAATAGCTAGAAGAGAATCATTCAAATTTTTAGTATTGTCATTTTTAAAATAAAGCTTTTTATATCACAGGAGAAAAATTTCCAACAAACTTGAATTGAAAATGGAGCAGGATTTATGAGGCTCTGCTAGTTCAATGTGAGGATGTCTACATCCTTCTCCCAGGGAAAGAATGGTATTGGTGCCCCGTTCCCCTAAGTAATTTTTATAGCTTCATGGATATCCCGTTTCCTGACTAAAGTGTGACATTTCAAATATATGAAACTTCTTTTTCTACATGATGCTAATATTCCATATGTGTCTGTGCAAAACACTTTAAGCTATTGATTATGTACTATATTGCACTGCATTCTAGAATATACCTACAGCTATCCAATGGATTTTGGTATGACCAGCTGGTTTGCGGACTCTCCCATTAATGTGAGCATTTATGTCACAGACTACAGTCATCAGCTTGTTCCTGGAGCCACGTATCCACCTACCCTCTAAGATAAATTCCATCCATAAAATCAAGTTGTCATTGTGTTGAATTTTTAATAACGCTAATTCATATGTCAAACGGTAAAGCCAAAATTTTTCATACCCATTGAATGGTAAATTTTAACTCAAAATTCCTATTTTAGTGCAAGAAAAGTTATCCATGTTATAATCATGCTTTCGTGAGTTCTTGTAAATGTAATAGGAATAATGATATAAGATCATAATTAAATTATGTCATTCAATTTGCTGAGACAACTAAATTATAGCAAAGACATTATATATAAAATTTAAAAGAGATTGATGTTTTAAAAGGGTAGAAATGAAATCCTAGCTCTAAGATTTCTGAAAAATCAGTATTTCATGAGTTTGAAATTATAACATTTAATCCTCCAAATAATCAAGACAAATGGTAACTTCATCTTAAAAACATCTGCAGTCAGTTCTACTGATACCAACAAACTTGTTAATCTAGGGCTCTGAGGGAGGGAAGGCAGCCTGGATTCGCTGTGTTTGCCAATTGCTACGGTGTAAGTACCCACAACACAGCCAAATGAAAACATACAATGGTTTAATAACCAGCTGGCAAGATTCCTGAACAACCAGGAGCTGATTCCACCATACCACTGCCTGCTAATAAAGCCTAATACTACATTTTTTTTTCTTTTTTTTTTCTAATAAAGTATTCTGAGGTCAGATGACAAACCTCTTCTCCCTAAGATTTGTGGAATATGTTCCACAGTCTAGTGATTATTGACAAGCTCCTACCAAAGTCTATCTGAGATGACCTATGCAGACTCTCTACTAGTACTAGCTTAAGCTCTGCCTTCCCCAGGTGATAAAAAGCTCCATATGGATGACAGTCACGTTTTCCTTGTGCATCTCTGTATTCCCAGCACATTGCACAGCTAGCAGTGCCGCCTGCTCTAAGATGTAAGCTACTCTTCAGCACAGAACTTTGTTTTGCTCACTGACAGATGCCAGCACTAACATGATATTTTCCACACAGTAGGTGCTCAATACATATTTCTAGAAAAAATGAATAGATAGACTACAAAATGACTAAACATGAAGCCATGCACGAAAGCCAAGAAAGCAAATACGGTTACTGAGTTTCAGATAGTGTCTGAAAAATAAATCATAAATGATTCATAAACATCATGTTTTCCTGAGGTCCTTTATCTCGATGAATCATTCTAGCCTTGAGATACCGTGATTTCTCCTTTTTTCGTTGCCGGTTCAAGGCAGAATAGTTGAAGGAGTTACACTGAGAGAAAATGTTACTTGTGTCCAAGAAGCAAATTTTATCCTGGGGCCAGTTGCATATCAGAAACTGGGTCTTGTTTTTCTCACTCCTATTTTCTGTCTCTTCCTGTCCCTTTTCTCTTTACTCCTCCACATAATGTGTTCCTCCAGCCTCTGATCCAATATGTTCCTTCTGGCTTCTCTAACTGAGGATTTGGCTCTATTAAAATACAATTTTGCAAGGTTCAGGACATGATACAGACTTATTCGAACATGCAGTAATCACAGAAACTTTGTTCTTCACATTCCATGAAATTAAGAGTCCTTGAGTTCTCATTTATTACATAGCTTAGAATTGGTGCAATAAACTGATCTAAAAAAAGAAGCAGTATTCTTACGGAAACTAGGAATTGTGGCTACATGGATGAGATATGTGAATAAAATGCTTCCAGATGTAAAATCACAAGCCCATGTTTCTGTTGTTTTTTGTCTTCTAGAACATATCATGAAGAAACTGCCCAAATTTAAAGGAGAAACTGAAGCATAAACCTGGTGTGATTTCTGTGGCTAACAGAAGGGTTGTAATTTCATGGAAAAGTTGAAAAAATAAAAGAGAGGGTGTTCTTTAAGTGATAAGTCTTGGATAAATTGTCTAGGTGAGTGAGGAAGAGACAAAGATTTATTAGAAAATGGAATGGAATCACCCTGAGTTTAAGAAGAAGTTAGCAGCTGGGAGGTTACTACCTGCCCCCCTTCATGGTGGGGGGGCAGTCCTAGGTTCTAGAAGCAGAACTCCAAAGCCCCTTAGAGAAAAGGGGAATTTTATTTAACCACCAAAGAAGGAACTGAAAGTCCAACCTCAATAGGTACCTCTAGAATATACAATAGCTGTATAAATCGCTCACCACTTTCCATTGACTGCCAGGCATCTTAGTGATAGAAATATTACTGTAAATCTAAGTTTCAAAGATAGGAAAGAAAGGCCTGAAATTGATTACACCTAAGATTATAAACCATTTGTTCCTGTATGCTAATTGGAAATTCCACTGTAAAACGAACATGAGCTCCTGTTTGATTGCACAATTAAAAAAAACACCCAGTTCAGGAAATGTGGTAGCACTGAAGAATATTTTGACTTTGCTTTAAATATCTAAATGTAGCAAATATGTATGATGCACAAAATACAGATACAGTGAGTCATGATCCATCATCTTTAGGCTGGGAAAGTAAATCAAGTAAACACTGAAATTCTATTCATTCATTCTCTAGCTTTTATACCCATGCTAGAAGAGTGAGGGAAATGCTTTGAGGACATGCAGAGGAGGTGGCATTTCAGTAGGGTCTGGGGGGAATTGGGGAGTACCCTACAAGAAAGGATGAGGCAAGACGCCCTTCTGGGAGAAGAGCCTGCAAGTGTAAGCACAGCAATGCACAGAACACAGAGGCTGCTGTCCTCAGTATGAGAGGAGTCCCAGGAAGTAAAGCTGGGCAGTTGTGCATCCAATAAAGGACGAGCCACAGCACCCTGTTGAGAACAGGGAGCTTCCTCTCCTTGGAAAGAGAAGCTATGGGTGGTGTTCAGGTGGGTGAATAAATGACACAGTCCCCTGATGTCCTCCTACCTGGACAAGTATGTGACCAGGAGTAGAAAGGAGGAAGAGGACAAAGCAAGGAAAACACGGTCACACATTGAGGCACCTGTTGGCCTGCATCGAGCACAGCCACCTTTTTGGCCTTTAGTTTTATCTATTCCCATGGCATAGGTTGCATGGAGCATGAGAAGCATGGAAAGGTCTGTTTACTCACTGTTCTGAGGGTGCCAGCGCACAGCATTTAAGTAGGCGTTGCAGTAATGGAAGAGAAACTCGTGATCTGAGCGTTGGCTTTTCCCTTCAAGCAGAGGCATCAGATCATGTCCATCGATGATCCTGTAGGATAAACAGCCATTCATCAGGTGGTGAATCAGTCCTGTGCTCTTAAATGTCCTTCTGAACCAACAAAAGCATGATGGAGCTCAAGTCGTAATTAATACAAAGAAGACTGATCCAACCTGGGTGCCATGTGCAACACATTGATCCCAGCTCTGTCCGTGCATTTTCTTATTACATCTGCAAAGAGCACCATGAGCTGGGAACTACTGTTGGCCCATTGCACAGATGAGAAAACAGAGGCACAGAAAGGTTAAGTAATTTGCCCAAGGTAATGGGATGAATAAGAACTGACGGGATTGAAATCCAGGTGATTTGGCATTTACACTCTTATTCCTATTGTTTCTCCAAAACATAATTGCTGTCTATTGCCTTACCAAAGGGAAAGCTTTATTCATGAAATACAGGTTAGCTGAAAAGATGGGCACCTGACAATTTGGGTGTTTTTTAAAAAAGATATCATATTGCATGAGGCAACTTGGATTGGTAGACTGCAATGAATACAAATTTCTCATCAGAATGAATTGATTTGTATATAATAATACCATTAAATAACCAGGGAATGAATTATTCCCAAATGAAAATATATCTCCTTTACTAGTGGGTATCTAACTAGGCCAAGGAGGAGAACTTTGCAGATTGCAAACAATAAGACATATGCAATTGGTGATGAGCAAAGTAAGATTGCTTATAGCTTGAAGAAAGGAATAAAGTATAAAATTGTGTTTTGTATTAAACATAAATTAACAGCTACTTGTGAAATTGAGGCCATGGATACCATTAGGCCATTGCCATCAAAATGAGGGGTAGAGAATTATTTTGAAAGGGTGAGTGTTTAACTTGAGGATTTTCTCTGATTAAAAACACTACATCCATGTCATCTCTTGTTACAAGGCGTTTAGAAACTGGAAGTTTGACATGGCTGTATAATTTGGGTAAGTGTGCTTAAGAGGTCCTATGTCTCTTGAGCTTTCTCTCATAGTTTATTTTGGTGTCACTAAAAACCCATAATGTAATTATAGCCTTGTTGTTAGCACTTCTCCGGCCTCAACCCTTGTTATTAATCACGCACTCTGCAGAAGTCTGTGCATTGAAAATATTCTATTATCGTAAGTTAAAAATAAGAACAAAAGACTGGCTTGGCTCATTTCCCAAACCAATGTTCCCACGAACCAAGAGGGGAAGAGAAAAAAATATGGTAGAGAGAGTTCTATTCAGACACAGCGTGTGCCCTGAAATACTGTTTCTATCCTGAAATGGCAGTCATTGTGCTTGGTTCTTTTCAAATTCCTTTCAAGAAAGACTCAGGCCTTTTGGAGACCCCAAATAAAGTTGAAAGGAAGGAAGAAGTGAGAGGGGAAGTGGGCAGGCATGAGAATTAGACCAGGAAAAGCCCCCAGTGGTGAAAAGTGATCTGAAGGGAAGAGACAAGGGACAGAGGATTTCCATCCTTTTCCAAGTGGGGAGAACATCTTTCAATGACTCCCCAAAAGCAAGATGGAATCTCCATTTTCTGGGACACAAGCTAGACTTTTACTTTTTGAATCTGCCTTTTTTTTCATTTTCCAACAAAATTCAAATGTGATATAAGAACATGAGAGATGGAATTTCTGTCTTAAGATCAGTATGTTTCGAGGGAATGCTGGGAAGATGGCCGCCTAAGAACAGCTCAGGATTTCAGCTCCCAGTGAAAGTGCAGAGGGTGAGTGGACGCCGCATTTCCAGACGAATTTTTATTGCCCACAGACCAGGAGATACCCAGGTAGAGGGGTCGCCAGCGCCGCAGTCTCGGCCGGTGTGGCTGCTTTGGCCCCCGCAGGGCTGATTCAGCCCGCGCGGCTGCTTTGACCATGCCCTGTTGCTGCAGTTCTCCATACAAAAGCCACTAATCTGGGAGCCCTCTTAGCTGGCGATCGGAGCCCTGAGACGGCAGAGTTGCCCATTCATCTGAAATAGCGAGTCAGGCCAGGAGATTCCTAGGCAAAAAATCCGCCAGGAGCCAGCTTCGCTGTTTGAGCCGAATCAGTGAGTCGCAGCACGGGAGATCCCGGTGCCTTTTCAACAAGCGACTGGAACGCGGGGTCGTTCAACTTAAAAGAAAAGACTCTGAGTCAGGGAGCCAGGTGATCAGGCTCGGTTGGTCCCAGCCCCCTACCCCCAACAACAAGGAAAACAAAAAAAGTAATTGGAAACCCTCTGGGTTGAGCCCTTCAAACCAAGCACAGCTGAACCCGGGACAGTCCGGCTCAGTGGGGGAGGGGCTTCTGCCATTACTGAGACTCTCCACCACTACAGAGGCAGGCCGCTGTCGCTGAGGCAACCCGCCGTTGCTGAGGCAACCTGCCACAACAGAGAGAGTCCGCCATAACAGAGGCAGGGCCACCATTGCCGACACAGTTCTAATTATGCCCATATAAACAGGACTGCAGGGAAGAGCACAGGGCAGCTGGGCAGAGCCCACAGCAGCTCAGCAAAGCCTCTGCAGGCAGGCAGTGGCTAGGCGTGCTGCTATCTGGGCGGGTCAGACCTGAAAGAAAAATCAAAAAAGGCAGTAGTGCAATGGAAACTCATAAAGCCCCAACTCCCTGGGACAGAGCACCTGGGAACAAAAAGTGCTTTATGAGTTCAGCTGCAGCAGACCTAAACGTACCTGCCCAGCAGCTCTGAACGAACAACAGAGCTCACAGCTCAGGACGTAAACCCCAATAAAAGATAGACTGTCTCCTCAAGTAGCTCCCTGACCCCCACAGAACCAAAGAATTGCCTCATAAAGGAGAGAACGGACTGACAGTAGGAGAGCATCCTTCTGGAACAAAGATAGCAGAAGAGGAAACTAGCAGCAACCCTTACTGTTCTGCAGCTGCTGCAGGTGATCCCCAGGCAAGCAGGGCCCAGAGAGGACCTCAGCAGTCCTACAGCAGAGGGGCCAGACTGTCAGAAGGAAAGCTTAAAAAGAAAAAAAAAAAAGAAGTAACTTCAGCATCCACGAACTAGAAGCTCACTCAGAGACCCAATCTGAAAGACAGTAACTACAAAGACAACAGGTGGATAAACCCACAAAAATGGGAAGAAACCAGCGCAAAAAGGATGAAAACTCCCGAAACCAGAACACCTCTCCTCCTAAAAGGGATCACAACTCCTCACCAGCAAGGGAACCAGACTGGATGGAGAAGGAGGGTGAAGAAATGACAGAATCAGACTTCAGAAGGTGGGTAGTAAGAAACTACAGTGAGCTAAAAGAACATGTTCTAACCCAACGCAAAGAAACTAGGAACCTTGGAAAAAGATTGGACGAAATGCTAAAGAGAATGGATAGCATAGAGAGGAATATAAGTGAATTGATGGAGCTGAAAAACACAACACGAGAACTTCGGGAAGCATGCAAAAGCGTCAACAGCCAAACTGACCAAGCAGAAGAAAGGATATCAGAGGTCGAAGATCAACTCAATGAAATAAAAAGAGAAGGCAAGAACAGAGAAAAAAGCACAAAAAGGAATGAACAAAATCTTCAAGAAATGTGGGACTATGTGAAAAGACCTAATCTACGTTTGATAGGTGTACCTGAATGTGAAGAGAATGAATCCAAGCTGGAAAATACTCTTCAGGATATTATCCAGGAAAACTTCCCCAACCTAACAAGGCAGACCAATATTCAAATCCAGGAAATACAGAGAACACCACAAAGAGATTCCTCAAGAAGAGCAACCCCAAGGCACATAATCGTCAGATTCACCAGGGTTGAAATGAAAGAGAAAATGCTAAGGGCAGCCAGACAGAAAGGTCGGGTTACCCACAAAGGGAAGCCCATTAGATTCACAGCAGATCTCTCAGCAGAAACCCTACAAGCCAGAAGAGATTGGGGGCCAATATTCAACATCCTTAAAGAAAAGAACTTTCAACCCACAATCTCCTATCCAGCCAAACTAAGCTTCATAAGTGAAGGAAAAATAAAATCCTTTGTGAACAAGCAAGCACTCAGAGATTTCATCACCACCAAACCTGCTCTACAAGAACTCCTGAAAGAGGCTCTACACATATAAAGGAACAACCAGTACCAGCCACTCCAAAAACACACCAAATGGTAAAAGAGCATCAGCACAATCAAGAATCTGCATCAACTAACCAACAAAACAGCCAGGTAGCGTCAAAATGACAGCATCAAATTCACACATAACAATACTATCCCTAAATGTCAATGGACTAAATGCCCCAATCAAAAGACACAGACTGGCAAATTGGATAAAAAGCCAAAACCCATCAGTGTGCTGTATCCAGGAAACCCATCTTACATGCAAGGATACACAAAGGCTCAAAATAAAGGGATGGAGGAAGATCTACCAAGCAAATGGAGAGAAAAAAAAAGCAGGAGTTGCAATTCTCATCTCTGATAAAATTGACTTTAAAGCAACAAAGATCAAAAGAGACAAAGAAGGACATTACATAATGGTAAAAGGATCAGTGCAACAAGAAGAGCTAACGATCCTAAATTTATACGCACCCAATACAGGAGCACCCAGATACATAAGGCAAGTTCTTAATGACTTACAAAGAGACTTAGACTCCCACACAATAATAGTGGGAGACTTTAACACCCCATTGTCAATATTACAGAGATCAACCAGACAGAAAATCAACAAGGATATCCAGGACCTGAACTCAGACCTGGAACAAGCAAACCTAATAGACATTTACAGAACTCTCCACCCCAAATCTACAGAATATACATTCTTCTCAGCACCGCATCACACCTACTCTAAAATCGACCACATAATTGGCAATAAATCACTCCTCAGCAAATGCAAAAGAACGGAAATCATAACAGTCTCTCAGACCACAGTGAAATCACGTTAGAACTCAGAATGCAGAAACTAACTCAGAACTGCACAGCTTCATGGAAACTGAACAACTTGCTCTTGAATGTTGACTGGATAAACAATGAAATGAAGGCAGAAATAAAGATGTTCTTCGAAACCAACGAGAACGAAGACACAACATACCAG